ATTTTTAAAGTGTTTGTCTTAACTACGGAAGCTCTAAAGTCAGCAAAACAAAGTAAACTTTAGCTTTCATTAATTTAGCAACACAGACAATATTTATTGAACATGCACTATCCGTGTTCCAGATTTGTACTGGGTGTTGGACCTATAATGGTGAGTCAAAGAGTCATGCTGTCTGCCCTCATGGAGCTTATAGTCTAGCTGCCAGGGATCCAGGTAAACTCTGAATCCAACCCATCAGATCATGTTAGCTGCTATGACAGTTTATAGCAATCACCATGTTTGGCTCCATCACTTGGTCACCTGAGTAAATCATTGTGACACATATCAAGTTTTTATAACTAAGATAGAACTTGTAATTTCAACCTACCAAGCTAAGGTTTTTAACTGATGCCTAATATGAAATCCATATGCAGGCAGTCACTGCATGAGCATAATGTTTAATATTTCTTAAAGTTTTTTTTTTCTGAGATAAAATAAATCTGAGAAACAATAACCTCGAAGAAAAAAGAGTAGCGTAGCATTTTTATTCAAGGTCATCATCATTTACTCTAAATCAATGATAGAACTGAGACTGGAATCCCAGAGAGAAAATATTTTCTAATTCCTAATGCATTGCTCTTTGTAATACATCCTGGTTTCTCCCGCGGGAATATATCTTTTGCTTCTCTTCAATATAAGTGTTGTTTCTAAAGCATTGGTACCTTCAAAAAGAATGAGACAGATGTTGTCTGACCATTCACTCTTAGCAGGAAACCAGACAGCCCTCGAACTCTGTAATGCCATCTACCTATTTTTAGTTCAAGAAAAACTTTTCCACTCTGACAGTCTGCTATGAATATATAGACAACTTGCTGCAAAGACAGAACTCTTAAAACAGTCAACACTTCGATTATGACACATAGGCTAATGGGAAACATGTTCTCTGGATTAAGGAATGATGCTGCATCTCAATTGCCAACACATCAAATTAGGCTAAATCATGTGACAACAGCCCTTCAAAAAATGAAGAGTTGAGTATGTTCTCCATTATCCCCGGAGAAAAAAATGATGCGATTGCAGAGATAGGAAACTTAACATCACATTGAAGCTTCATCACTTACTGGCTATGTGATGGAAGCCATCCCGATTCATGTAAGTAAGACTGGAGGAAATTGTCAAAACATATATATTGCCACCATTTTTTGTAAGTCGGCAGGCGATACAGTATGATTACCTTCAATAGGCTTCTTTAGAGCCCTCTCAACTATCTCGCAGTAGTTATACTTTATTGGCAGCGAGAGTTAGTGACAATGAAATTTCAAAGTAGACAGTACCATATAGAAGTTTTATAACAGAGACTAAAAAACGTACATTTCCCCACATAAGGTACTTTCAAGGTCAAGAACTAAAAACTATTTCTACCTGGAATCATTGTAAAACTGTAAACTTTTTGTAACTGACTCTTTTATTTTACATATATATATGTGTATATGTATACACACACACACACACACACATATATATATAATTGTGTAATGGTTTAACAGAGGTAGAAGAGGCTAGGAGTTATATATATTTTGCCATTTAAGTGAAATAATCAGCCTGGTATGGAATTAAAAATGGGATTCAGTGTTCTGTGTTTGATTTTAGGGTCTGGCTCTACACAATTTGGAAAATGGGCTCAATCAACTCTAGTGCCCTTTTCAAATACAACATCGAATAGTGTGTTTACACATGCAATAAGCCTTGCATTTTGCAATCAAATCAAAAAATTAATTTCCCAGCCAATCTCTATGCCAGCACTCTGTCCCTGGCTCCTAGGATATTTAATTTCATTTTCTCTGGAAATATGATACCTATCCCTAAACACACACATGCACACACACTCACATGCAAAATTCATACATAGATACCTTCAATCAAATAACCTTCATTCACATATTTCAAATATAGTAAGAAATATTTTGTGGCATTAACTACTGCTTTAATATTGTCCTCTTCCAGTGTGTTGGCTATTTGCAAGCCAAATGCAGTTACTTTGCTAGTATTGGGGATCTATACTGGCAACACTGTTTAGTAAAGGAGGGTTCTGATCATGGAAAAATAAAAAATGGTTACCATCTATAGAAGAAATAATCAATCTTGACTTTCTCTCCTCTTTTAAAAAAAATGGACGTATTTCTAATTACCTTTACATACAGAGGCCGACAGAAGACAAATGACTTACCCAAAGTTACACTTTAAGTTGGGTAGAATCAGGGTTGGAATCTCTCTTTAGTATATCATACTATATCTGCAGTAAACAGTAATGCCACTTCTTGCTTGCTTGTCTCTCTTGCTTTCTCTCTCCTTTTCCTCCCTTCTTTCTTTCCTTCCTTCCTTCCTTCCCTCCCTCCCTCGCTTCCTTCCTTCCTTCCTTCCTTCCTTCCTTCCTTCCTTCCTTCCTTCCTTCCTTCCTCCCTTCTTTCCTTCTGTTCCTCCTCCCTTCCTTTCTTCTTTATCACTGATTTTTACCTTTGCCCTGTTTGGAAGTCCCTATGATAAGACCATTAAAAAGCCATTAGGCCAACACAAACGGAAGCATAAATGCTGTATTTCCGAGTAAGCAGCTTGAAGCCATGCACTTAATGAAACCAGTCAAATCAGAAGGCAGTGGAAGAGGGGACAGACTAAGGAGTGTACAGAGACACAGAATCTCATGGATCTGGCTGAGTGACCCTTTGCAAATTACTGCTTAATGTAATCTATACTGGGCAGAGATATATGTCTGTAATTACCACATTCTGCTGGGACTCAATTTATTTTAACTTTTAAGAATGGATGTTCAGGAGATAATTCGTTAGTTTGTTTTCTTTTGTTAAACCCTGTAATAAAATTCTAAAGCAATGAGAAGATAGAATTATGAAAGAATAATCTGTAAACCAAAATCACAGGGATCATTCCTTTAATCACGGGGAGACAATGCAGAATCTGTTAGGACTATTAGCAATTGTGCTGAGGCTAAAAAGATCCTAAGTTTAATTTATATAGGGCTAAACAAAATAAAACAAAAACTTGAAAAGTTGCTTTACAAAGCAGCTTCCCTTGTGCTCTTTATTTATTTATTTCTCATTTTCACATATTTACCCAAATCCTTCCTCTTCGTTTTCTTTCTCCTCCGCACATACCCTGTGTTTGGTCCTTTAAGGTTTATGGAAGGTAAATGCAGTCATTGCTGCTCTTTGGGTTAGAACTTTCGAGTCACTTTATTAAATGAGGCAGAGCTAATCAATTTTCCCAGACCCTCAGTACAAAGTGTTCCGGGTGATACGGCGGGATCTCTTGAGTTTTCCTATTTCACAGCCGTGTATTCAAGCCTTGATTAGATTTTAGGAATGAAAGAGGAAACATTTAAAAAGATCCACATCTAAATCTGTTGGGAGTCACTCTCTCCAGCAGTGTACATAAAAGAAGGGGCCTGGCTTGGACCAGGGCAGCTGGTTTCCTTTCACCTTTTTTTCAAACTGTAGTTTTGAAGCATCTGCTCTTATGTCTTCCGTCATTTCCCCAAGAACAGTCTTTGTATACAGCTGGGAGTGCCCTACATATTCCTCCTTTCTGACTCATTCACTCATCTCATAGATATTTATTGAGTTTCGATTTTGTGTCAAGGGAACAGGACAGACAGAGATACATTTAAAATAATTCCTGTCCTGGGGAAAGCTTAAGTCAGGGATATAAGGACATTTGGGGACAGGAGAGAATGAGGAAAGAAATAATGCCCGGACAGGGTCTCTGTATTGTACATCTCATCATGTCCATGAAGAGGGTCTTCAAGACACCGGATATAACCATGGTAGCCCTGGACACAGTCAGCGGAGATCGCTGTTTTTTGTTTATTTGTTTTAAACCCTTATTCTATCTTCCTTCGCCACAAGTGAAATCTTAAGACCAGAAATGACAAAATGGTGCCCCTGTCTGTATCCAGCCTAGGGCATTTTTTTCCAGGCTTGGGAGATTCGATACCAAAAAAACAGACCTCCAGCTTTCTCTGAAATGTTGAAAGTTCTACGAAGCTGTGTCTACCTTCCCACAAAACAACAGTTGACAGAATTGGGAGTTGTGACTGTCCCTTTTAGGTGTCATTCTCCAGTTTTTCACATTCATTTCTTACAAGACTGACGATTGCCATTTTCCGTCACACTCTGGTTGTCCTCTCTCTCACCTGGCCTTTCACCTGCCTGCCCATGCAAATGAGTTCGTGACACGTATGGTGACGAAGAGGGGCACCTTGAACTAAAAGGGACTATTTTCATATCTCTAGCACACTGGCTCATGCACAGTAGGATTTAATTGCATATCTGATCACAAAGTAACAGACATGAGTCACTAAAAGAGAGCTGCATATGTGGTCTAGTCACCCTTTTTGTATACAAGGCTCTGTAGTATAATACAATGAAAGGGATTGTGAGTAGAGAAAAACACTTGCTATGTTCTATCAAACTCTCCTGGAAAACATGCCAGTGCTGATCTAGGATTTCTCAACTGCATCCATTGTGGAAGGAAACTTCTCTTCTTTTCTCTACAGGAACCTCTCTACATGTTTTCATGCGGCGAATTCATTTTGTCATGGGGTGAACACCTGTGTGACTATTTAAAAACCACAACACCAGGTGTGTGTGAATGAGCATCTTTCTCCTTTGTGTAATGTTCTTCACACCGATTTCTCAGCAGGCCAGGTCAGGAAAAAGCCTTCGAACTGAATATAGAAAAACGTCTTAAAGGATTTTTTTTTTTAAATATAGCTATGATAAGTGTATGCGCTGAAAATATTGCAGCCAATTTATACAAACAGATCTTTGCTTCATAGGATTCTCTTGTTTTTACTATCATGTAAAAAATGTTAGCACCCCTGGATGTACCATTAGTAGTTTATCATAGAGCAGGGCATTTTGAAAGACCTAGGAAATGCTAAAAATTTGGAAGATGTTATATTACAAAATACTTGAAAATATATTTTAAAAAATTAAAGATTAGTTTACCTTTTGCTTTGTCTGAGGCTCTCCGTCCCTCTTTTCCAGGAGATAGCTGCCCTGGGAAAAGCATTTGGTTTGCATTCGATGACAATATTCCCACCAACCTGAACAACTGAATTTTTTTTAATGGGATTTTTGGAGAAATCAGGAGCTGAGGCTAGAAACAAAGTTAAAAACAAAATTATTGCATTGCTCACTTATTTAACTTGAAAAATAAGTGACCCAAGAGGTAACTTGGCATACTAGACAGAATTAAGTGTTTATAGCCAGAACACTTTTTCAAACTGCCATGTTCAATGTGTTTTCAGGCCGGTTACTAACTTAATATTTTAGAGCCTCTGTTTTCATTTGTAAAATGAAGATGACAAGAGATGCTGCTTCAGAAACTTAGTGTGGGGATTAAATGAGATAACAGTTGTAAAGTACTATAGCATAGTGCCTGACACAAGTATATGCTCAATAAAAAAGAAACATAATTTATTTTTGTGTGTGCATTGTTGGTTGTCAATTTTTTAAACTTTTGTGTTGGCAGTGGTCATTACAATATAATAAAAGTAAGTTGGTAGTGAGGATGCTCGTTAGAAAAAGTCACATTTCCGATAGCATTTATATTAAAGGGGGTGAAGATGGTTCCATAAGAGTCAGAGGAGGGAATTTTAACCTTAACTAGGAAAATCATGAAATCTATTGCAGCTGAAATAATCATCCTAAGGGTGGGCACAGGCGGCTCACGCCTGTAATCCTAGCAGTTTGGGAGGCCAGGGCCGGAGGATTGTTTGTTCTCAGGAGCTGGAGACCAGCCTAAGCAAGAATGAGACCTGGTTTCTACTAAAAATAGAAAAAAATTAGCCGGGCGTGGTGGTGCATGCCCGTAGTCCCAGCTACTCAGGAGGCTGAGGCAGGAGGATCGCTTGAGCTCAGGAGTTTGAGGTTGCTGTGAGCTAAGCTGCCACCACGGCACTCACTCTAGCCTGGGCAACAGAGTGAGACTCTGTCTCAAAAAAAAAAAAAAATTCCTAGATATGAGTATACACATATATGCATATATGTAAACAGCTATAGCATACCACTGAAATAATTCAGAACTACTATATCACTATGTCAGATTGCTTCGGGCAACTTTTAACTAGCAAAATGTAAATCGTCTGCCTTCCATAGAAGCAGACACGCTGAATAGAACTTACAAAAAAGTCTTTGTCAGTTACAGCTTTGGCCCCACTAAATAAATGTTGAAGATACCAGTTCAGGAAGATGAGGAATTATCAGACTGCCTGGGATGCGTCTAAGGCTTTCAATTCATGGATGTGGGAATCCATGTGTCCAATCTCTATTCATCACCTAAAGTTCAAGTGAACCAAAGTTTTTCAGATATGCCATACTCCCTTGCTCCTTGGCTTTTCAGGTGATGCTTCTCTGCCCTTCAACTGGTCTGTGCATAATTTTTTTGTTTGTTTGTTTGTTTTTTGCAATCTCAGGTTAAAGGGAATGTTCTCCATTTAGGTTATGTTAACTTGCCGTGTGTTATAGCAGCACCTACTCAATTCTTAGCCATAAAAATCACACTTAATTTTTTTTTTTCTCCTTGAAACTATAGGTTCAATGAAGATAAAAATCTTAGTCTCAATCGGGCTTAGACATAATAAATGTTCAATAAAACAAAGGAATTGTTTTCCTTCAATAGGAATTGAAGGAATTAACAAATGGATGGATGCTCATCACCTATAAACTCATATAATTTTGTGTTTTGCTGTTTGATCCTTCCTCTCTTTTACCTCCTTGGGTCTTCCTACCACTAAGAAAGCCATGGGCTGAAAACTATCAAGAAGTCATTTATTGTGGAAGATACCACTGGTTGGATTTCCCAGGTCATCATTCTCAAAATCCTTTAATCTCAGCATTTTCCACTAGAACGACTTATTTTCCCAGCTTCCCTTGCTGTCTGGAAGGTCATGTGACAGGTTCTAATTAATGGCATGAAAGGATTTTGCTGTGGAAGAGCAGGGGAATTTTGCTTTTCTAAAGAAAGGGACAGATGTGGTCCGTCCTGCAACCTCCTTCTGCCGCTGCCTTGAGTACAGACTTGATTTCTGGACTCACAGCAGCTGTCTTGACACTGTGAGGTCCCAGGCATGAGGGGAAGGTACGTAGCTGGCAGCCAACACTCCTCTTGTTAAGAGATAAAATAAATCACTGTTTGGTTAGTGACTGTAAGTTGTGATTTTCTTTTCTTACTTTTTAATTTGCAGCAGAAAATATTCCTAACAGATACTCTTTGAGTTATACTTGAAACCTTGCACTAGAATCAACATTGGAGAAGCCTCTTCTGGTTTGGATGCACCCAACGATGGGCTCTTCCTCAAGCCCTAGCACATTGCCCAAGCAGAATAATAATCACCACCTTGAATTTTGTAAAAAGCTAATTTAGACATTTCCCATTATTTCAGAGGAAAGCAATTACTAATTTAGAGAAAAATTGGGTTCACATTATACATAATGATAGCTTGCTAAAATGTCATTTTGAATTTTTTGGTTGTAAATAAATGACTTACCTAAAACTCTCAATTCAGCATTTGCATATATTATCTGATATTTGTTTTCTGCAGCACATTGGTAGACACCAGAATCTGACACATTCAGCATTGTTATGATAAGTGTCCCATTTTCTATCTGAATTCTCTCCTAATAAAGGAAAAGGCATGGGAAGATGCTAGTATGTTAATGTAGCATTCGCTTAAATGTTATTAAACAACATTTGTGCATATAAGATCTGATAATTTGGTCTATTTATATACTGCAAAATCCTGAGCAGCATTCTGAAGTTTAAACAAACGAAAATATGCTTAGTATAATTTTAGTGGTTAGTGCATTTTATGTTATACCATTTATTTGAAAATTGGCATTCTCTGCATAGAATGTATGTTAACTTTCTGTTTTATGGTATATACGATAATTTTGAACAGACCACCATTCCACTTATTCTAGAAAACATGATTGGCAGTAATATTAGACATGAATATCATGATTAGAATATTGCCTTGGTTTTCCAACATAAGATCTCAGAAATATTTGAAATGTGATGACTTGATAATTTTCTAATTGAATCCTAAGTTGGAGGAACTTAATCCTTCCTTTCTGCAGCCTACTAAAATTTGTGCCTAAACAAGCCAAAATCTGTTACAGAGTCGCATTGGGAGTACAGAAATACAATTTCGAGTGCACATGATGAAATAGTTAATAGTACAAATTTAACTTAAAACTAAATATTTCCAGGTACCTATTACTATTCTCTAAGGAAAACAAAAGTAGCCTGGAGGAAACAGAATGTTATATGCAAAGGCATGCAAGAGGAAAATTCCACTGAAGCTGAAACAAAGAACAGCATCATATTCAGCTTCCAAACAACAGATGTTCTTTGTGTCTCTGGCTATGCTTACGTGTGCAAAGTAAAATGGAGAAACAACACAATTATCTGGATAATTTAATAGGGGGAAAACCCAGCTCTGTGTCCTTTTCTGGATATTGTAAAAGAAGGTAAGTTTTAGATTGAAAGATGTGGAAAACTGCCTTAGTTCTCCACTTTCCTACAGGTTTAGAGACAGTCAGCACTTTTCGTAAAATCAAGATACTGGGTAGTGACTAAGAACTTGGGTGCTGGTATCAGAGGAACAAAGTTTAGAATACAAATCCTATCATTTACTAGCTACTATGTGACGTAAAAAAAGTGGCTTAACATCTTCGAAACTCATTTTCTTCATCTACATAAAGGAATCACAATGGTATCTCCCTCATAAGTTTCTCAGGAGGATGCAATAAGATAACATATGGAAAATATTTAACACAAAGATTGCCCCGTATAAGAATTAAATAAATATTAACTGTGATGATAAGGATGACAATGATGATATCTCAATGTGGATCCACGACTGACTGTGTGGTCTTGTGAAAGTTTTTGTCTTTACTATCTTATTCTTCTCATTTGAAAGATGGGGATAATATCAGTAGTTACTTTATGAGTTTATTAAAGGATTGAATAAATCAATGTATATTTATTTTTCTAGAATAGACTGAATAACCCATGAATAATCCATTAGCTCTTACTGTTAGTTACTATTATCATTAGTATCAAAATTTACTTAGCAGAGTAGGTGAATTTTTAATATCAACAGAGATGCTTACCTCTGGGTGGAGGCGTTCACCATTTTTTAACCATGTGTACCAAGGGGTTGGCTTTCCACTAGCTTTGCATTCCCACAACAAGCTGTCATAGATAGAGAGGTATGTATTGTGGATTTTTTGTTCCCATTCTGGGGGAGCTGTTTCAAAAAAAGGTGAGAACAACTGTTTGGTAAGGCAATTATCCAAGACATCACGCTACATTCCAAGGGCTATAGAAATCGAAGGGCAGGGCCAACTGGGTCCAGTTGGACTGCATGCATGTGGTTTGCACAAGGGAAAATGCAGGAGCTTCAGTGTGGGGTGACAGAAATCCTGTTGCAAATATCATTGGGCATTTGGCTCAAGTTAAGTGTTTGTCATCTGTCATTTTGCTGCACCTGTATAACTACTTGGGAGTTGTAGAAAAAGGTCAAAATGCAGAACGGGGCCAAGGAATAATTCCGTGCTAAATATTATTAGTACATATGTCAAGTTAGAAAATGTATACCAAATCTGAACCCGCACACTAAATCTGAAAGTCTATTGATTATATTTGATCTAAACAAGTTGAAATTAAGCTTACCTATATCAGACAATTACAACTCAATTGCTTGAGGTATACATGAAATACGAGCCTCATCACATATTGGTAGGATGATAATCCAACATATTTTTTCCCTAGATAAAAATCTTAACAGGGAATGAGAACTTTTGGAGTTGTATGAAGGTTAAGTAAACTAACTTTAGCCCTGTGCATAAGTTTTCCAAAACATCATTTTCTAATCTGAGAAAGTTCTGCATTGCACTGAGGCAAAAAGCACCTGACATAATTGGTGTGAACGTAAGGAAGTATTATCCTTACCATCATTCATGAAAACAGATGGGTTTTAAATTAAATGTTTTAAAATTCATATTTATTCCATAAAGATGATTGGAAGCTTCCTGAATGCACCAATTAATCCCTCTTCTTTCTTTAGTTCTGTCCTTGGATATATAGGAATATAGGGCCCTTGGAACCTCAGGCTGTGACAACCTGGATGTTTAACATTTGCAATTGAACTTAATTCTCTCTACAATCCTTTGTAGTGGATTTTTGCAGAGGTATTAGGTAACCTGATCAAGACGATAAGGTTAGAAAATACAGAAACCAAAATTTGAGCCCTGAAAGCAGAGTCTAAATAAACGGCTTATGCTCAAGACATTTATTTGAGAATACTAGCCCAAGGGAAAAGTATCAGGACAAGAGTCAACAAGGAAGGGAATTCAATGCAAGGTTGAGTTACTGAGTTAGCTATCAACACAGACCATTTTTACTCCATTCCAGGTGAATTTCTAAGGAGTCATTATGAGCCGTCTACCCAGGGAAAGGAAGGGGAGGCATTGATTCATTGGTTCCTGTCCATAGTCATGTAAAGGTAGAGCTGATGTGAACTACATGCACACCCATATGGTGCATGCTTAAGTGCTGAGTAGGCTCCTGAAGGGACCAAAGAAAACTGGGAACAGGAAACAAGATGTACTTGGTGCAGCACCTGAGACCAGACTCTTTCAGGTTACCCCTATGGAACATAGCCTGGTCACTGTAGCGGTGGGTGACATAAGTGGGCTAAGAGGATTTGAAATGGTGTACAACATGAAACCCAAGTCTATCTCACTTCTAGGATTTTTCCGCTGTGACACCTACTCAGCCCTCAAAGAGAGAATGGTCTTCAGAGAGGCTGTAATTGTGTAGAAGAAATCATGATGTCTCTTTGTCGTGGGGACTAAGCCTAGAGTTACCTCTTATGGAAATCTGGACAATTTCCAGGTATGGCTGAATATGCCTCATGGAGACTGGAGGGACAAATCAAGGCAAGAACTGGGTATATTGATGAAACTGAATCATGTTTCAGGGTATTATGAATAAAATTGTATACTTTGTAGTTACCTATCTAGAAATTGTCCTAATATATGTTTGACCTGGGAGCAGAAATGCATGTCCATATATAATTCAACATAGCTTACAAAGGTTTAAGAGATATCTAATTTTTTGCTTACTGCAATAATATAATTTAATTATTTTTTTAATGTGCATGTGCACATTTGGATGCTTAGGATTTCTGAAGAGCAAAGTTTTAAATTTTCAACCACATAGGAAATACATGGAAGAAAGAGTTTAGGATTTGGGGTCTAACAGGCTTTAGTTTTGGATTTTTCCCCCTATTGCCTGGTTACGAAAAGTCACTTGACTCCTCTGAACATGTTCTAGTTTGCTGTCATGATAATAACAATTTAGAGAGTTCTGTTGGAGGTAATAAATATACAGTATAGATGGATATGTAGAATATTATTTGGTTCTAAATTATAACTTAAACGCAGCAATATAATTGAAACTGAGAGGTTCTTCATTGAATTTTTCAAGTATTATTCAATTCTGAGGAAATTGAGTCAATTCTTTGTTCTTTTGAGAGCACTTTAGCAAGTGAATTAATATGTGACTAAGAAGCATAATGATTGTCTTATTGACCAATTATCTGTTATTCTCCCACAAGGACTATTTTGGACTCAGCAAATGGCTAATTTGATTTTGATGAGATGTAGTACAAAGAGACATAGACCGCCATGTTGAAGAGCTATGGTAGAGTGGAAAGAGTCCAGTTTAAGAAGACCCTTCAAGGTTCTGATCTGGAATCTGCCAATCATTATTTGTGAGATTTTTCTCAATTAATCTAAGATTTCTTGCCTAGAAAATAAAATTGTTTCTACCTCATAAAATTATTGTAAGAATTATGTGAATTAATGCTTATAGAATTTCTATGTCATAGTTGCTGTATCAGTGTAGAGGAAGGTACTTTATCATTGATTTCCCTTTTATAGATACCTTTGTGTCTTGGCTCATCTCTTGGTTATATCTTTGTCTATCGCATAGGAAAATGGGAAATATTTATTAAAAGCTAGCCAAAGCCTTTACTATCTTGGTTCTACTAAAATCTCCCAGTTGCATTCTTACTATTTTATTTGCAAAGGAGTCTAAATTTCAAAGACTTCCCTTTAAAAAGTGGGTACTATTGAAAAGAATATATATATATATATATATATATATATATCTTTTTGCTAGCATTGCTAAAACTGTAGGGGAATAATCAGTAGGAAATCATATCTATATATAAAATTGTAGTTTTCATTTCAGGTTAAAATTGGAAATTCTAAAGGAAATGGAAAATAATATAACCAAGGCACAATATGTTCTCCCTGTAGGACACTCAATCAGCATTCCTATGAAGTAATTACAGTGCCCTAGACTTTTTTGGTTATCAAAAAAAAAAATGTTTCTCCAATTACTTTATCATTGATTATAAACGTGTCACATAGAAAAGTATTTTTGGCCATGTGTAAATAGAGTTTTTAAAAGTTTTCTAATGCGGATATATTGAATTTACCAAAGAAGTTAAGGATACTTTAAAAGCACCCAACATTTTGATAATTCTAAGGTATACCTATCTTATGGTTTATCTGATATAAAAAAGACAATTTCAAGCAAGTGTGTATTTTGGCCCAGATGAAAGAAAACATAAAGTCAACTTTCAGATAATATATGCATGCATCACTTTTCTTACATATATGGGAAATTCTGGTAACTGAGACAACCATATAATTTTTAATGAAGTAGTGACCTTATTTGTCTATTACCTACATATGAATAGATAAAATCTGAGAAGTAGAAATAAATATCATAAACCACCATGCAGTCTTATGTTTTCCCTATCATTTTTTTTCTTCATTTGCAAACTCTACTTAGAATTATAATTAAGATTGCTGTAGGTTGCTGCTGAATGTTTTTTGGGAAATATATTGGAGTTCATACTACCTTGTATTAATGTTATAACTTTTATGGCTTTAACATGACACAGCTGATATTTTCAAAGCAATTATAATAAACAATAGCATTCACAGACCATGCCGAAATGAAAGCCGTAGTTTCAAATTGGTCTTTCCACCTGCTAATCATTGCATTAAGCTTCCTAACCTGGAAATGTATCTTCCTTATTTCTCCTTTGACACTTTTCCATAACACACTCATGACCTGCACTATTTACTATGAAAGATATTACCACATATTTTATATACTTTTTGAAATTTGATTAGCTCACCATAAAAAATGAGTTGACCTTTTGCAAGGTTTCTTCCTCGAAGGTTGCCTGCAATGCACTCATAAAAGCCTTCGTCTTCTTGTTGAAAGTTCGGGATTTCAAGGATAGCTTGGGATTTGCTGTACTTGACCTTCCCTGGCAATGGGCTTCCATCCAACCTTCTCCAACTAATATCAGGGACTGGACTAAACAGTTATACCTCATTAGAATAGAAGATGGTTTAGTCTTTATGACAGCAGAATAAAACGAAATCTTCCTTAAAAATAACTCTCAAGAAAAACAATTCAATCTGTTATATTGCGACTAACTTCCAGATCATGCAATCATTCACCATTCACTCATCCAGTTATTTATTTAACACTTTATTAAGTGCCTGCCTTGTGCAAGTCGTTGTGCTACATTCAGGGAATACAGTGGTGAATAAAATAGGCATGCCCTCTGCTCTCATGTTGCTTACAGACTAGTGGAAAAATATACCAAAACCAAATAGTAAAAACACAAATACATTTGCAAATTGCAATAACTGAAACAAAGGAAACAGGGTGCAGAGACAGTAACAAGTTTCTATCAATTTAAGTATGGTGGTCAAGGAGATGCTTTTGTGAGAATGTGACATTTAAGATTAGGCAGCCTGTACCTTTATTTATGAATTTCTAAGGCAAAATGTAGATTCCTCTAGAGCTAAATGGGTACTAATAGGATACTGAAGACATATGTAATGGGTGAGCTAAATTATCAAGAGGGATCAGTACTACGAAGCAGATACTTATGAATTGGAAGTAATAGGCTCTATGATCCTCAAAACAATGTATCTATTTATACACTATTTTTAAAAACAATGATAAAGATGAATTTACATTGCACTCTCTCTCCTACTAGAAAGGATTTGTAAATAGAGTTCTTCTATTTATAGGAATTTAGTCTAATATCTCATGTCTAATATCTTTAGACTAATACCTTTTAAAAGAGCAACAATAAATTATTTTATATGTGAAACTAAGTGTTCATTTAATAAAGGATGAATTTAGAAATTAATGATGTAGAAGGCCTTATTGTTACAGGTATAATATAAAAGATAAATCAGGCTATAAGCAAAATTCCAACGGGAAAGTATTCACTGATAAACTGATCATTTGTAAAGGCTGTTGACATTAACATCTCTCCTTTCCTCCTGTCAAGTCATTCTTTCTTCCCTTATAGATGTGAAGATAATTTAAATATTTCTATTCTAATGATATTTTGGATTAACCATATTAATAATCGCGGTAGTAAGTCATTTTGCAAAGTCAATTTGTAAACCTTGTAGGAGCTGCAGCATTTCTTAAAAGTCAGCAAAAGTGGGAGAATATACGATCACATGCAAAGTGGTTGACAAAAACTGGGAGAGTCTGAGCACTAAACAACTGCAGAAAATTGGTGATGACTCAGTGAAGGCTTCAAATAAAGCAAGAAAACTGATGAAGTTTTAGGAATTTTTTTTAGCAAAATATTATAATCCTCCTATGTACATCGAAGATACAGTACTAAAAGTCGTATCACGTGTTCACACATATTTGTCAGAAAATGTGCCCTAAATCAGTCTTTGATTCATCTATTTTTCTCAGAATTAGCATATAGTTACAGTTATATCTTGAATTTTGTTAGAAACAAAATAAAATAATTATCATAAATTTAGATTTTGTCCTTTTAAAAAGCCTTGCCACTCACCCCAAATTTAAGTTGACATTTTAGTAAATTGGCATATTCCTGGCAACAATTAACCTCAGATAGCTGGCTTTCTTTTTTATTCATTTTATGGAATGCCAAACAAATATAAATGAAGTTCTAAAATAAAATTTATTCACACTGAAAGATATTCACAAAGTCTGGTGAATTTTATTGTATATGTGAAATTATTGAATTAAAAATACATGTATTACATATGCAAAAACATTAAAGCTATCTGTGGGTAGTTGAGATATGAATGTCTTTTATTTTCCTTTCTCTGCTTACTCCTATAATAGTTTCCATTTTCACACAATAAGCATGCATTTCCTATGTAATACAATTTTTATAAGAAAATGTATTTACAAAGAGAAAAAAGGAAGCTCAGATACTTGTCTGAATTCATGATCCATTGCTATCTCTTTATGACAGTGCATCTTTGAGGGTTATGACAAATATATGCAAAATATCCAACTAAAAAAGGTTTTTTAATCTAAAACATTCAGACAAAAAAAAGCAAAAAATTGTGTATTTTTGCCATTGTCATTTCTTAGTTCCTTAGACTGACTGTGAAGACAAAAGTCAATTATTTTTTACATAAGTAAATACCTAAGTAATTGAGAATTTTGACAATTATAATAATTATAACAATGTCACATCAAATAGCTACCCTTTATTAACTACAAACTCCATACCAGGTACTGTATATGTGTATAAGAGGTACATATAATTTCATTTACATTTCCTATAGCTAAAATACATATAATTTCATTTCATTTCCTATTCCTATAGCTGGGATTTATTTCTGGGCTTTCTTGTATCAGAAGATATAAGTGTAATCACAAGGCACTCCTGACCTCACAGTTTTTATAAGATCATTCCCTGATAGCCTAGGTATTTGTGATTTTTACAAAAGTGGATTTCCATTTTAAGTGGCCCAGTCCTGTGGAGGTAAAAAGAACAAGACCAACCAATCTCAATTATTCTGACTTTCCCAAAGAAAAAGACCTGAGTGACAACATTGAAATCTTACTGAATAAGCATTTTTTCCCTTGATGGGAAAAAAGAGGTATTGTATGTAGGTATACTTTCCCAATAGGAGTTGTCTAGCAGAAAGTGTCAGAGCTGGTCCTGTATCCCTTCTAATCACTTTTCCACCCAAGATGCTGGTGTACTTTCGCCCTCAACAGCCAGTGCGTGTTATCACTTTACGGGAGACTTCCCTCAAGCTGCCGTAGCCAACTGCACCATCACAGAGAGACAGCTAAAGGCACACAGGAATTCACATGCCTCCAGAGATAGCACTTAACCAATAACTGCCTCGGTATCAGGGTTTAGATACTACAACTCCCATGCCCCTGGTTGTGGGACAATTCTAGATGTGACCTGTCTCCTCGCCAGAGCTTTCCTACAGGACTGAGCCAAAGTCACCTTCTGTGCAACTTTGCCTGGCACCACGCTGTGCTTGGCTACTTTCTCTTCCCTGCCCCAGTGCCCCATTTTCCTGTGGATTCTTCCTAAGAAGAACTCTTCTAATAAATCACTTTCAGAAAGTCTTCCTGTCAGGGTCTGCCTCTTGAAAAATCTGATTAATTAGAATCCCTGATAGACTCTAATCATGTGCTACTTTAGTTACAGCACCAGCTGTAGGGAACTTTTAAATATTTCTTAGGATGATATTTTTTGTGTGTGCAGCATTTAGACACACATAGAAATAGAAGTCTGGAGAACTGAACATCAATGGAATCATATAAGACCAAAAAAAAAAAAAAATAGTTGAACCCTTGTGAGAAACCACGAGTCGTGTAACGTTATTTTGAGAACTTATTGTTATACAGGGGCAACTACACCATTTCTTGCCTTAGTAAAAGGTATATCTAAATAAAAGGCAAGAAATGCAAGAGATATGAGGCCGAATGGAGACACAAAGGACTCTCACTTAAAAAAGAAACTCCTCTAGAATTTTCTTTCTTTTTTTTTTTTTACCCCATTTGATTTTGGAGTGACATGTTTGCCAAACAAATTATGGAGAAGATGATAAGATTCAGTGTACAGTACTTGCTTCTAACATAATAGCTTTCAATTTGGAAGAAGGTTACAAGATTCAGAGTCCTGGATTCTAAATTGGCAAAGGACATGTGTTTGCTTTTTTGCCTGCATTTTTATTTTCCTTGGAAAACCCAATCCTCTATATCTTTACTGCATCTGATCTGAGTTGGGCTGATGGACATCTGGTATTAGGAGAGAGCACATAATTCAGGGCTCGCCATTAGAGGCTTGTACACCATAGCCACCTTGATGGGTCAACGTAGGAATTCAGACAAACCAATCGGGGACAATTAGACTCTATTCTGGAACTGCTTTTGGAATGATTATTGAAGAAGGGGTCTCTTTCCACTGAAATTTTTTTTTGAGACACTGGGATATAAACTTCAAACTTCAAGCAACAATTTTCCACCAAATGGAGACAGTATCTTTGAAAGCCAAAGCTAGCACAGAGGAAAGAAACTTGGAATTCTTCACACATCTAAATCAAATCATGCCTGGTGCCAAAAATAAAATGAAACAAAAGTCTCTCTTTGAACATTTCAGTTGGCCAATACATTCTCTTTTTGTCTTGAACCCATTTGAGTCAGTTTCCTGCTTTTTCAACCAAAAGGGACCTGACAAATAGATTCTGAATGCAGCAGTTCAAATGCCAGCTGGGTTAGTTTCTATCCATGTGACTGAATTATACAATATGGTAGATTCCTCCAGGATGTTATATTGTATGCTCTAGATATTTTAGAATCCTCAGAGCAGTAAATAAATAAATGAAATAAAACTTTAATAAATGATAAAAAATTTTAAAATTAAAAAAGAAAGTCTTGTTAAGTGCATTTTGTGGCTATATTTTATGTTAATAAAAATTTTGATAAGAGAAAGATCAAGCAGTTTTATAAGATTTCATAGTCACTAATTGAATGTTGAGTTTTTTTCCTGATCTGTTATATCATTGCTAAACATGAATGCTACGTTCCTCTTAACCATTGGTAATTTGAGATATAGAGTCAAAAATAATAAATGCAAAATACACGTTATTTAAAAATAGATATGTATTTAAATGAATAGTTCCCATTTTGTCCTAGAAATTCTTATGAAGAAATGAACTGTTTTAGATTTTATACCATCTCTCTTTTCTGAAGCCATCCCAAATGGACAGTGGGTGGAAAGAGCTGAAATCAATGGAAAAAAAAGTTATTTTAGTAGTGTGCTTTAATGTTTTAATGCAAGTTAATTTGTCCAAGATATCCCATTGTGTGTCAATAACAATAATGATACTAATGTTATGATAGCATAATACTATTCATGCAGTATAAAGAACATAGCTCATACTTTGCCATATTTTGTTGCACCTTTATAAGCATGAATTTTCTCATTTACAGCATGGGAATTGGTAATAGCACATAATTCATGGGCTTATTATGAGGATTAAATGAGATAATCCATGTCATGTGCACAGTGTCTAGCAGACATTAAACAATATGTTTGAGCATTAGTGATAAAATTAATAAAATATTTTAAGATCATTATAAAAATATTTTAAGATCATTATAATGTGATTGTTACCATTTCAAAAGCAAAAGTCCTAGTTTATGTGTATTCAATACAAACTGATTTATAAATATTTCTTCATGGTGAGAGCAGGGATCTCTCAGATGAGACACACGGCATGCATAGCTTAGGAGGACTTGTATTTTGCAACCTGGCAAACCATCTAGGACCACTGTGGTAGGAAGGAAAGGAATTACAGCTCTCCAAAGAGAAGAAAGTCCTGCATAAGAAAGCGGGAAATTTTAAAATAATACTAATAACTATTAATTGAGTGGTTACTATATACCAGGCATTGTAACAGATAGCTTTCATATGTCACCTGAATTAAATACTTAGCTGGCAGCTGCTAACAATGCTAATTAACCTTTTGGAATGTTACTCACGTTTAGACAGGTAATTTCAACTAAATTATTACTTGCCAATTCTCCTCCGCTTAGAGTTCTGGAACAGGCTAATTTATTGTGATCTACCTTCTAATTCTTTTGAGTTGCCACCCATTCAATTATAAGCACGAGTAGACTCTTCCTCCTTCTGTGCCTTCAGCGTTCTTTTTAGGTTCTATCTAGTTTGTCCATGTTGATAATACTAGTAATGCAATCAATAATCTTCACTGGCAGTTCATTGTGGTTCAAAATAAATGGTCTATTTAAAATGCAAAGTCTACGCATTAAACAAACAAAAAATGCCATGGAGCAAGGTGGAATTTTGAGAAGTCTTTCAAATGAAGATTATTGTTAAATCTCCTGGAATTGTGTCATTATAAAGTCAAAATAAATGGTGCCTTTATCATTCTAACTACAGAGAACAGCTATTTCTGTCAACATTTCCCTCTCAGCTCCATTCTCCCACCCACCCCTGCCATTCTTTTATTTATTTTTATTTTTTAAAGAAATTGAGCTTGGATGCAAATCTCAGTAAAGAAAACCAATTTGAAGCAATTCTCTCGCCCAAAGTTTCCTCAGACCATAACTGAGGGATGCATGAACCTTGTATTTTAAAGAGAGGATTGCAAAAGCCTTTTCTTATTTTGTTCCTATTTCCTAAATCAAGTTGGGCTGAAATGTGAGCCCTCACAGTTGTGAAATACTACTAGATGATAAAAGCAAAGTTTTTTTCCTTTCTTTTCCCCTACTCTGGTTTTGTGCTTCTTAAATAAGCATTGCCATCAATAAGAACTTTTACTCCATTCCGCCATGTCATTATGCTTTTAGGGAGGAAGCATCCTATTAATTTTATCTGAAGACAGAGAATACATTTGTTAACCATCTGGCCTACTGCAACCTGAATTGGAAGTTAAATTAAAGTTCTCCTCACACTAGTAGGGATTGTGCTTCAATTCCATACTTGTAGCCCATAAATAGAATTTTTATTACTAATGCTATTTGAGAAAGCTTATATTTCTCCCCTGGATTTCTTAAACCTCATTATTCACAGCTTAAATCTAGGCCATACTAAGAATTTTAGCTAAAGACTGGTACAGAGAGCTACTTTCTTGAGATGCTTGTATTTGGGATTATTCTTAACTTGAACCTCATTTCAGAAAATCCTGTCAATGGCCATTTTTAATCTAAGAGACTGAAGCAGAATAATAATAATAAAAAAAAAAACAGCAAAGAATGCCTTTGTTGAATTTTCTGACTGTTCAGCTAGCTGCTTTTCATTTCTCCAACTTGAAATATTCATACAAAGAGCTTGGAATATAAGATTGTCCTATGGGGATACTATATGGATTCTATATACTATATGGATAAATTTGGATAAATTCATGAGTTCTGTACAAAAGCAATCTTCACTGTTTTGGAAAAAGGAAAACATTTTTTTTTTCTGAGCTGTGTAAATGTAGTCATGATTCTGTCCTAGCAGTCAGTGCTTGCTACAGATTAAATGTTTATGTCTCCCCAAAATTCAGAGGTTGGAAAACTAACCCCCAAGGTGATGGTATTAGGAGATGAACCCTTTGGAAGGTGATTAGCTCATATGAGGTTAGAGCCTTCATGAATGGGATTGGTGCCCTTATGTCCTCTCAGGACATTCTGAAATATAAAGTTTGAAGCACAAATAAGACTTACTAAATTACCTTACTATCAAGATTACCAATAAAGACAAGAAGGGACCATTGTCCAAACATTCTCTTAGAATTGTATTGCCAATTTCCACTCCTTTTAATGTAAATAAAATGAGCTTTAATTTCCATATGAAACATAAACTAAAGCCCACTATTTTAGGATGCGGTAGAGCTGAAAATGATACAACATTTATCAGTTAATGAAGAGTTTGTTCCTAATCTTTTATTTCTAATGAATAGTTACCGTAGATAAATACATCTGCTGCTCTTAGGAGACAAAATGATAATTTGGTCAGGGTAGGTAGAATTCCCAAGGCTTGTGCTATCTTGAATTTATTTGGCTTGGCCTTATCTCAGCTTGTAATCATGAAGTTTCATATAAAGAAGTAAATGAGACATTGAATATTGTATGTTAATATTTAATCATTCTATCATTATTATATGTAACAATTATCGAGCACATATTATATGCTAGGCACTGTGCTAGGTGCTTCGGGTAAACCATACAATAACACTATGAAAGCCATGACTAAGGTTGTTAACATTCTATAGATGAACAGACTAGAACTAGGATAGTTAGAGTTACATGCCCAACATCACACAATAAATTAAAAAAAAAATAGTAATTTGAGCCCAAATCTGTCTTTCCATAGAGTCTGAGCTCTAAACTGCTATGCTTCACCATCTTTTCCTGAATTAACCAGCTACAAAATGATAGCAAACCTTATTAGGGTGTATAATATGTGCTTAGCAATAATTTTTTCATCTAATGAACTAATGTGTTTTGCAACTAGTAGATAGACTTTTTTTTTTCTTTTTGTACATCAGTGAAATGATGGTGCACTTTCTTATTATTTCAAACATAATGAGATTCCTCCAAATTCCAGTAAAGGCTTAGAGATGGGCTTCACAGTTAGCTGGAAAATAGGAAACAAGTAACTTTTTCTTTTCCCCTAGCTCAGTTCTAACTTTGATTTAAAATATTTCTCTTCTGTAACTGCCAATTATTTAAGTAAGAACTGTGGGCCTCCTGAAAGAGGTGGTGATAGACTGGAATGGAAGAGATGAAGAATTGCTTCCAGAAGTATATATATTCTTCTTGGATGATCTCTTAGAGCCTATAAATTAGCATAATTTTAGAAACAACGCCGTAAAAATCCAATTTCTGCTTTTTGGAAAAAAAAATGGAAGAGAATGATATTAGATTGAGAGTATATCTTTAATATCAGAAGAGGCTCACAGGTAGGATGGGTTCCTGGTCTTTGACGTGGCCTCTGCAATCATTCTTGAGGAGAATCTGGGAAGATATTTCAGAAACCTTAGGCTTTTATACGGCATTCCCTTTATCAATAATTGTACTTATCTACATGTATACCGTGGAAGTTGATATGAACATAGGAAAAATATAGCCACAAGGATATTCATTACATCATTATTATTTGCAACCAAAAAATTTAAAAAAAAGGAAACAAAATAGAGGAAAACTAAATGTTCAACAGTAGGAGGTTAGCTGAAAATATATATTGGCAAACCCCACTGTCATTACAAAGGAGAGTGCAAAAGACTGTTTACCTGCAGATATGTTCACAGTATATTTTTCAGAATATTGAAAATCATTATATAAAAAACTGTGCAGGGTATTATGCCAATTGTATTAAAAATACGATAAATACTGGAAGCATATATGTATATCAAAATATTGAGAGCAGTTATCCTCTGGGGGAGAAATTAACTGCAAAACTAATTTCATTTTTTTTTTCTTTTTTTACTTGCTTATATTTTTAAATTTTTCTTAAATGAGTATGTCTGACTTTTGCAATTATATATATGTACATATATATTTATGCATTTATGTATATATATATATAGACTTTATTAAGTTATTTGCTTTGTTTTGTTTTGTTTTAAGCAAAGGTTAATGGAACTCTTCCAAATTCCCTTCTTGTTTCTGTGTCTGCCTTGAGAGCTATCATTTCAAATTCATTTCTAGAAATCTGGTTTCTGGCTCATTCTTGCTCTACAAAAAGAACTTTATGTCTTATAATACAGTGCATATATTTCTTTTCTAGTTTGCTCCATGCATTGGTTGTGAGTGACCATGTGCACACTCCCTAGCTTTCAGCGTTGGTCTATTCCCTGGTCTCAAACTTTTTCCTCTTATCTTTCTTGGACATTTGTTCTACTTCTCATGTGAGAAGAATTCCATTGAAATGCGGTTGTAATTGAAAAGAGAAAACTAATAGAGGAAATCAATGAAACCAAAAGTTGGTTCTTTGAAAAGATCAATAAAATCAATAAATCTCTAGCTGGGCTAACCAAGGATAAAAGAAAGACACAAAGGACAAATGTCACTAAAGATGCATGTACATTAAAAAGATAAATTAGATAAAATGGACCAAATCCTTAAAAGATACAGATTACCAAAATTCTGAAAAGAAGAAATAGATAATCTTAACAGACCTTTAACTATTAAAGAAAATGAGTCAATAATCCATATCTTCCAAATTAGAATACACCGGGCCAGATGGTTTCACTGGCAGCTCTTTAGGCATATAAGGAAGAAATATATGAGGCACTGTTATAGCCAAGAGGACCCTAAGGAGACAAGAAAACCCCATGTAATGTGGTACCCTTTGATAGAACCTTGGAACAGAGAAAGGAAATTAAGTAAAACTCAAGGAAATTTGAATAAACTATGGTCTTTAATTAAGAAAAGCACCACAGCAATATTGGTTGATTAATTATAAAAAAGGTGTCATGAAAATGTACAACATTAACAATGGGGGAAACAGTGTGAGAGATTTTGTGGGTTCTCTCTGTACCATCTGCTCAATATTTCTGTTCTAAAACTATTATTTAAAAATCTATTAGTTAAAAAATATTTTGTGAAAGGAAAAAATAAAAGAATTTCCCATTTCTCAAAGATTAAAAAAAACCAAAACACACCTTAGATAATAGCCTAAAATTAGCTCTACTAAAGGAATTGAGAGTGACCCGCTCCGATCTCAATTTAACAAAGGGCAGCCTAGGAAAAAGATAATCAGGGAAGCTTCCAAAATAAGGATCCTTGAATCTACCTTCATAGACAGTCTGGGAAGAAAGGGCTGCTCCCAAGGGAAAGGTGTGGTGGAGCATCGTTACAGAAATCCTATTTTCATTAGAATAAGGTCTCCCCAGGTTCTTTACTTAAGCTTGTTTATTTCTCCAGAGCCTAGTGCCTGTTCCTTGGAGAACCCTTCCTGACTGACTCACTATATGAAGAAACGAAGGAATTAAGGATTGAATCAGGTGTTCACTACATATTGACTGAGTTCATAAATAATTGGTATGCAACTCACCATGTGAGTGAATGAGGGAATGTCAGTAATCCTTAGAAAGGTTAGACACGGAAATCTAAAGTGATAAATCCATTAATCTGGGATTGTCGCTGAAGATTATATTCGCCACAAAAGTATAATACAGAAACGATTTCCTTCCCACGTACATGTGTTTTTGTTTTTACCTCCTCAGCCTGATATGGAAAATGTCGGGTGCCCGGTGGCATCCCTTGTCGCCTCTCTGTCACTCCGCATCTGCGCGGGCCAGTGCTGTGTGTGACCAGTTGGAGGGTGCGCTGCCGGGTGCCAGGCCCCTGGCAGAGAGCCCCTGGGGGGACCCCTGGTGTCGCTTGGACCCCACGTGACAAGTGCCCCCAGACCCACGTGCCTGCTGCCTGTGTGGTGGTCCTGATCTGGGTAATTTTGAATCCCACTGTTTTTGATTGGATGCTAAACCTTGTTGTCGATTGGATGTTAAAGGTTGATTTTGATTGGATGTTAAACCTTGTTGTCGATTGGATGTTAAAGGTTGATTTTGATTGGATGTTAAAGCTTGTAGTTGATTGGATGCTTTTTGAGCCCTACCAAGGGTATAAAAGCAGGAGAAGATGGGGAAGAAGGGTCAGAAGATTGGAAGACCCGAAGAGTGCAGTAACGCTAGGTGTGCTGAGCCTGCTGTGGAAGAATAAAGGCTGTTCTCTGACTCTTCTTGTGCCACTCGGTTCTTTCCCCCATCAAACGAATAAGAGCTGTAACGCTAGCTATACACATTGCCACGACAAGCCCAAACAACTTTTGTGATTCCTAGGATTCATAAAATAGTTACTATTTATTGATTGCGTATGGTGAGCCAGGAACTCTATCATCTGTCTAACTAGCTAGATATCATCTATATCTGTTTATTTTTGCTTTCATTATACACATAAGAACACTGACCAAAGTCACCCTGCTCTTCACAGGGGAAGTTAGGACTTAAACCCTGATCTCTTCGAATTCAAGGTCCATACTCTTCATAACACCATGTTGCCTTCAAGTGCTGATAAATCCACTAGCAAATTATTCATCGCTTGTGTACGTGAGTGAGTATTTGCTAGGGGTTAATGTTGTTTTTCAATTTCTGAATGACAAGCTTGAAGATTTGTTAGTTGTCAGATCTGCTTGCATGGTCAAGAGTGGTGAGTATTCCATAGACTTTACCTTATTATTTTACGCCGAGTAATTTAATGTCATGTTTCAATGCAAGGCCATTAGCAAAAACCTGAAGATTAGGTTTCAGTACAAATTCTGGGACAAATGGGTGCTTGGGAGGACATTCAGTTTTCTGTCCATTCAATTCATTGAGGGAGAAACAAAAAGTAAACTACTTACTAGACATCCAGATTAAAAAGTATTATGATATCTGATAGATTTGTTTTTAAAAAACAACATAATTGTTAAAGGCCTGAAAAATCTTATGGTACCTAGCTGGATTTAAAAATATTACTGTCATCCTGAATGACTTAAGAAATCTTTCTGCAGCGTAATCTGCAATGCTATCCACATGGCTAAGAAGAAAAGCAAACATTATAAGAAATAGCTCCTCTGCAATCTGAAAGTTTTAGAACACCTACAAACATCATGGTGAGACTTCAAATTTATTGTGTGACATTAATAGGCATGCTGGGTATCTTTTGCTTCATAAATTAGAAAAAAGTAAATAAGATATACATGTAGACATAAATATAGTCCTCTGTGTGAAAGTTCCAGAACACACTGGAACATTCAGTGCTGCTACTAATTTTATTTACATTCCAAAGCACTGACAGCAAAGTTACTAAATTAAGATTTAAAGAAAAATAATAATATCTTTGGTTGTTTACAAAAGCAATAGAATAGAGTTATGGGGGAACAACAGTTTAATTTCTTCACTCAGAGCAAAGACCCATATTTTATTCAAAGGCGACATGCAAACCTATCAGTCAATCATACTACATCTGCATAGCACCTGTATGAAAGCTTCTCGGGGTATTTCGCAATACAATTAATTTGCAGCTTTGATAATTAAGACTCTGCCATGTTAAACAAATGAGACAAAGCTGAGAGTTGCAAACTGTAACTATGTCAGCTCTGAAACTCCAACATGGAAAGTGAGTAACGTATCCGCAAAGTCATAGCAATTAAAGTTCAGGCATTTGAAGCTTTGTCTTTTTTATTCTATACTCATACTAGACTACAGAGGTTTAACATGCTTGGATTCTATGAGTAAACACTTCAGCCAGCCTTCCCTAGATTTCACCACCCTGCCTGGATGTCTGCAGAAGCCTCCTATGTTAGTTGCTGTGACTGAAACTATGTTTTCAGAGCTCTCCCTCATCACCTATACCAGATTTTTAGAAATTTTTAACATTGCCCTTATCACATTTAAACCAATGGGGTGTATACACCTCATTGGTCCTGATCAATTTTTGGAAACACTTGTTTCTTTTCATTCAAACATAGCTTAAAAGTTATATTTTATGCATTTTTAAACTTTTAATGTATAAAATTAAAACGTGTTGCGGAAATATTAGTAATTCCAGATAACATAAATGGGAAATATATCCATAATACCATTCCCCTGATAAAGTATTTTTTAACATTTTGTTGAAAATTTTCAAGCCTTTTTCTAGTAAAATATTTACATAATTGATGGTCATACTGTATCTGCACACCAATAATTAAGTCATCTACTGAAAAGGCAATTCTATGTAAATATCAAAGGGTTATTGGGCACGAGCTTTGAAGTCAGAATCAGTGAGATATAGATTTGAATACCAGATATGCAGCTATTGTTGGTCAAGTCACTTAATTTTCTAAGCCTCACTATATTTACCTTTATAATTAGCATTAAAAAATAAGAAACTGGATAACTATATGAATAAAGCTCTTATTTCTAGTAATTGAACAAGTGGCAGCACAAAGTTGTGATCCTTAAAGAGAGAAAAAAATGAAGTTAGCCTCTGGTAGCCCTCATTTTCTGTGTAGAGGCACTTTCTAGATCAGGGAGTAGGGAGGGGAGACATAAATAGTATTGTATAGTTTCACTGAGCAGAGTAGACAAAGATCAGAATTTAGGGGGACTGAAGTGGCTGGAATCCCAGAGTAGACTATTAGAAAGGATGGCATTGCTAAAAGCATGTGCTCCAGAGATATACATAGGAGTGTCACATGTTGTGGGCAAAGAAAAAAATTCAGAGCTCAGACAGGACTAGAAGACATTTGGGCTCTTCTATGCCAGAGAATAAAGACTTGTTGAACATTTGGGGGATTCAGTAGGGAGACTCATCTTAGTAATAAACTAGTCTTAAAGTCTACTCTATATCTACTCTAAGAAAACTTAATCACATGCCACAGGAAAATCAAGAGAATTCATAGTAGCTGAATAACTGCCTAACACAATAAAATCCAACAATCTTCATATAAATATACCACAATCCAGCATTCAACAACATAACATTTTGGATGTCCATTATCCAATTTAAAGTACTAGATATCCAAACAAGCAAACAATGAGAATCATGACTAGGAGAAAAAAACAGTCAATAGAAACACATTCATAAATGACTGATTTGATAGAATGAGCAAGCAAGGACTTTCTTACCAGCTATAGGTAGGGCCCCTGAATAACAGCAGAAAACTACAGCTGAAATAATTGCAAGCTGAAGGCTCTATTTAAGAAAGAATCTTTTTGCTTAAGATTGCCTTGGCTATTTGGGTCTTTTCTGGTTCCAAACGAAGCATAGAATTATTTTTTCTAGATCTGTGAAATGTGACATTAGTATTTTGATGGGGATTGCATTGAATCTGTAAATCACTTTGGGCAATATGAACATTTTAACAACATTGATTCTATTGATCCGTGAGAATGATATGTTTTTCCATTTGTTTGGGTCATCTGTGATTTCTTTCCTCACAGTGATTTTTGTAGTTCTCCTTGTAGAGACCTTTCACCTCCATGATTACATGCAGAGATCTTCCACCTCTGTAGTTAAGTATATTCCTAGGTATTTTGTTTTCTTTGTAGTTACTGTGAATGGTATTGAATTTTTTATTTGACTCTCAGCTTGACTGTTATTGCTATACAGAAAGGCTACTGATTTGTATACGTTAATTTTGTAGCCTGAGACTTTGATGAATTTATTTATCAAGTCTAGGAATCTTTTCATGGAGTCTTATCATATCATCAGTGAAAAGAGATAATTTGACCTCCTGTTTCCCCATTTGGATGCTCTTTATTTCTTTTTCTTGCTTGATTGCTCTGGCTAGGACTTCCGGCACTATGTTGAATAAAAGTGGTGGCAGTGGGCACTCTTGTCTTGTTCCAGTGCTTGGGGGGGGGGATGCTTTCAACTTTTCCCCATGTAGTAGGGTGTTGGCTGTGGGTTTGTCATATATGCCTTTTATTATTTTGACATACATCCCTACTATGCCTAGCTTGTAGAGGTTTTTATTATGAAATGTGCTGCATTTTTTCAAATGCTTTTTCTGCATTTATTGAGATGATCATATGGTCTTTGTTTTTGCTCCTGTTTATGTGTTGAATCACATTTAATGATTTACATAGGTAGAACCATCCTTGCATCCCTGGGATTAAGCCCACTTCATCACGATGGATTATTGTTTTGATGTGCTGTTAAATTTGGTTTGCTAGTATTGTATTGAGGATTTTTCCATCTATATTCATAAGGGATATAGGTCTGTGACTTCAAACTCTACCACAGGGCTCTAGTAACCAAAACATCATGGTATTAGCACAAAAATAGAGACATAGAACAATGGAACAGAACAGATAACCCAGATATAAAACCATCCTCATACAGCTAACCCACCTTTGGCAAAGCAGACAACAATATAAACTGGGGAAGAGATGCTCTATTCAATAAATAGTGCTGGGAAAATTGGATAGCCACATGCAGAAGAATGATCTGGTGCTGAAACCAGTCTTTCTGTTTTTCCTTTTGTCTCCCTCCTAGCCACTATATACTGAATGATTTCTTCCCTCCTACTTTTTTTTCGTTCTCTATTTATTAAAATATCTTAATCCTAGTGTAATGAATAGTGTATAGCTTAAAGAGTAATCAATAATTGGTCAGCAAATATAATTAAAAAATCTTTTATTTCATTCACCTCTAAATCAATTAGCTTTCCTCAGTTTTGAATTTATGGAACTTCTTACAAAAGAGAGAAGTACCTCATAAAGTGGACACAAAGATTTAGATAGATTGATACAAAGAAGTCACTACATTTGGGGGAAAAAGACTAAAATCAAGAGCTACGCAGCAATATTTTTATGAAGAAGTGTTATAGAATACAATTTATAATAAATATTCAATAGAGTTCATAAAACATCTGGCAATAAACCTACAAATATAGATTTATAATTTTAAAGGTAGGAAGTTTGATTTTGTTACTTTCAGATTGTAATTGTGTCTATAATATAGTTAATATTCTAGCCAGTGTGTTGCTTTGTATGTTTGTTAATTTTATAAATTTAGAAGACTATATCATATTTGGTAAATGTCAAAATTTATAATGGACTAAAAAGCATTTTCAGTATGTTTGCAATGTGTCAAATACAATGTAATTGGTTTTCTGGAAACTATTGGCAAGTGTATGTAAAATTCTTTTATGTATAACTCACATTTGCATGTTTCCCAAGATATACAAAGTATTTTCACACATAGTTTGTTCTTTTGAACAAGTGAGAAATCTATCTACACTCCAATTATACAAAATTTAAGTTTCTTGTATAAGGCATTTTAACGCTACCACTTTGACCTAGTGTATTCTTCAGACTTTCCATTTTAACCCAAAGTTATTTCAATTCTATATTAATGACATCATTTAATAAACATAATTTCAGCATTGACTAATTTTGTCAGATAAAATTTTATGGAATATACTCCATATAATCAATTAGTTCCTTGACAATTTTCTATGAAGTGCAGTTCAGTAATTTTCATCATTTTTCCAATCTCATTTAGTATTATTGTATGTGTAGCAGTTTTTTTCTATGTAACTTAACAAACAAACATGGTTTATCCATCAGGGCTTTTTTTGTGCATACACAAAAGATTTTCCATTTTGAGATTTTTTTTAACTATTTTTTTTTCAACTTAAATTTTCCTAAGTCAATTATTGCTAGTTCAAATTTTATCAAGAAGTTTAGGCACTCCAGTGTGGGTTTTCTTTTTTGATTTCATTGTTTTTCTTTTTGTTTTTGTTTTGAGACAGAGTCTAGTTCTGTCATCCTGGGTAGAGTGCACTGGCGTCATTATACCTCACTGCAGCCTCAAATTCCTGAGTTCAAGCAATCCTCCTGCCTCCGCCTCCAGGGTAGTTGAAACTTCAGGCATGCACCAGAACCCCTGGTTAATTTTTCCATTTTTAGTAGAGTCTGGGGTTTCACTCTTGCTCAGGCAAACTTCTGAGCTCAAGCGACTCTCTCGCCTCTACCTCCCAGAGTGTTAGGATTACAGGCATGAGCCACCCACCTGGGCCTTTTTATAAGCATGAAAGGAAGTTTATTGAGGAAGGACAAGGTAAAATTACAGAGCAAGATTGAGATATATTAATAGGTTTACAGAGTAAGAGCAAGATGACGTTTGTCACCGAATGTCAAACAGACTCCTCTGCCATAAAAAAAGGGCCCCATATGTTTTTAAGATTACCCATTTTACCTTGTGCAATTTAAGTGGTTGTCAATTTTTAATATGTTGATTGTTTTCATCACCAAGGGGTTAATAAAAAAATGAGTGTTTTTTTTTTTTAATTTCTAAATTACTCCATATACTATATTCCAAGGCTTCACTTGTCCTGATTGGAACGTTAGTCCACTTCTTCAACATATTTCCAATGAATTCTTTTAGCATATACCCACGACAGGATAAAAATGGTGAAGCCAAATGGTGAACTCTAAGTCAACATTTCCTGCTTTTGCCTTTCTCCTTTCTTCCATCCCTCAATTTCATAGCAGGCTGGGCTGAAAATGGGATGTGGATCTTTAGCAGCATTTTAAGTGGAAGAAAAATGCCCTCCAAAATGCAGGTTAAGTTATTATTTATCACCCCTATCAGCCATCTGCTTAAATGTGTGTATGTGTGTGTGCATTTATGTGTGTGTGTTCATGTGCATAGAGGGATAGGAAGAAAGAGAGAGAAAGGGAATGTGGAAAAGCTTGTACATGTGATCAATTCATGTAAAGGGCCCATATATTACTCTTTTATCTTTTGTATATGTTTAAATAATATAGAAATAAATAAAATGAAGAGCAAATTCAAAACCTATATTGGTCATGTTGTTTCCCTTTATGTTCCTTTTTTAAACTCCTAATCTGACCCTGATTGCTACTTTCTCTCTTTTATACTGTCTTCAATTCCAGGGCAGAGAGAAGGGGACTGGGCTGGGGAGAGAAGAGAATTTACAGACTCTTTGAGATACCTATTTTAGCTGGAACATCTCTACTAACTCAAACACTGGTTATACAAAGTAGAATAGAATTTGCATTTTGGGTTCAGAATAATTCAATGAACATTTGCAGCCTAAATGCCAAGTCTGGTGCTAAATGTTTTCTTCATATTATCCATTCTAATCTTCACAACACATATACAAGGCAAGTATCACTATAAACTCCTTTTAGATGAGAATATGTAAATATTCATAGAGTTTATAAGCAAGTTTGCTAACAATAAAATAACTCTTGAGAAAATTGAGAATTGCATCTACCTCCAATTTCAAAAGCAGTTATCTTACCATTTACTCAGAAGTTTCTAAATTCAAAATTTAAAAGCAGATGGGCCAAGGTTTAAATTGCCATTGCCCTCTCTCTCCCCCTCTTCTTCTTCTTCTTCCTTTTTTTTTGTAGAGATGGGGGTCTCTGTATGTTGCCCAGATGGTTTCAAACTCCTAGGTTTAAACAATCCTCCCACCTTAGCTTCCCAAAGTGCTGGGATTACAAGCATGAGCCACCACACCCAGCCACTCTTTCTCTTAATAGAAGCATGAAATTGAACAGGTTACTTATCCAATCTGAGCCTCAGTTTCTCATATATAATGAAAATATGACTTGTTCTGAAAGATTATGAGAATTACATATATCATATCGTAAATACTTATAGGTGCTTAGCAAATAAATTATTTTCATTAGATTCTTGAAAACTAGCCTCAGTAATTTTTAGTTATTTTTATTATATAAGAGCATTTTTTATTTCAGGAATCCATATTTCCTGATGCCAAATATGATGGAATAAGCTATTAATAATCTTTTCAGATACTATTTTTCATTGATTTTCTTTAAAAAATAACCATCATATTTTCAAAGTATTTTGCTGACACACATTTTATGTTATTTTCGTAAGCCTTAATTTCTGAGAAAGCTTGGAAATGGTGAAATTTTATCACGTCTTAAATGGCAGACAAATAAAAACTGATTTGAAGCCCAACTTGTCACTTTTTTAAGAATCATTGAATCAAATCAATAATTATTTATTGAACAAACACTATGAGATCAGTACCATATGAAAATATAATCTCAAATTCATGAGAAATTAATAATCTGAGGAATTTAACCCAAAGATACATGACATTTTATCTATAGGAAGGAAACTAAAAGATTTAGTAACTAGTATTATTTGGATTGCTAATAAAAAGTTAATAAAAAGACTGCGACTTTTAAGGATGTTTCCCAGACTTTTGAGAATAATCCAGACTTTTAGAAAATCACTGTTTCTAAATGTGATGGCCATCTTTGCAACAGACTTTGGATTTAGGGGTAAGCTCTCAATGCTCACTGCAAGAGTCACATCTTTTATTACTCAAAGTATGTTCTGTGGACCTATATTCCCAACCTGACCATGATAAATACTTATCTGAGTAAAACAAAATGCTTCCGCTACCAGTGAAGGTTGGACTCAATTCTAATCTTCCATTATGAACAATGGACTTTCATTAGTCTTTCTTTGGAAATGAGCAGTGCAGGTTTTTAATTTATCAGAACTGTTGATTAATTAAGCAAGGAGACACTCCAGGTAATATACTCTTGAAAATGTGGCAACAGACGGAGTGAAGGATATATTTAGTGACTTACCTACCATCTTATACAAGCACACTTATTTCCTTGCAATGTGCTGCCTAAATGGGTCTCATGATGCTCAAACTAAAGGAAATACCAGCACATTTAGGGGAGAATTGCAGCTCCAGTCATTTTCGGAGTATTAGAACTGTTTGTTTAAATTCCAATCAGAAAGTTCCACTACTGCCCAGCATTTGAAATCTATTTGGTAATTTACCTTAGAGCAATGTTTGAATAACAAAAAGATTTCTTTAAAAAAAAATTAAAGCAACCAGAAAAAAACAAAACAAAACAAAACAAAAAACCTTACTTTCCAAGGGCAAAGCATTCCAGTTTTACAGATGAATCCTTTGCGGCTTGTATAGTTTCAGGAAAACGCACTTCAATCTTTGGTTCATATTCCCCCATCACACCTGTTAAATATCAAAAGAGCTAGCAGCATTTCTGGGAATAGAAGTTGTCTATGAAGTAAATGCTTCATTAACCAAACTCTGATTATTTGGTCTTAATGAGAATTAGTGTTTCCAGTTAAGAACTGGATACATATAGATTCTAAAATGCTTCTGAGTTTTCCAAAAGGATCCTTCCCTAGTGTATTATGATCTATCTCTCCTTCATGGAACTCCTGGGGCCGGATCTGACCGGGAATAAGGAATTTTTCAGTTAACACTGTAAGAAGTCTGAGAAAGCACCACTTAATCCACATTATCAGTATTTCCACAGCAAAACATATGAAATAATCACATTAAATTGAAATAAAGACATAAATGTTCGTGTGTTAGTACAATAAGGTTTTACTGCTAAATAAGTTTTCTGTACACCTATAACATTTTTTGCTTTTACCATTTTAAAATTTCCAACCCAAGGAATTGTGGATATAAGCTAAGAATAAGACAGTGATCTAATGTATTGTAAATAGACTACCTACCAGAGAAGCTGTAATGAACAGAAATATATCTGTAGGCTACCCTCATTAACTTAATTAACTTAATCAGTGACAACTTGAGATTCTTAAAAACTTTGACTATTCTTTATTTTTATATCAAACACCAGAGTAATACATTCCTAAAATAAGTGGATTATTGGTGGCTAGTATAATTGCAGAAAATGTGAAAATTATAAATATATATATAATAAAATACCTCATATTTAAGACCTTGATTATTGCAAACATTCAAAAAGGTTATGGTTAAGAAGATAGAGTACTACTTCATTTAACTAAATTGATTTTTTTTTTTAACTTTCTTGACATGTCATATTTCTTGCATGCTCACTTTTAGAAAAGGTTTGATTTTTTAATATTACATATAATGCTTCTGGTCTATTTTTACCATAAACGTGTTGAAGGGATTAGAGGGGACAGAAGAAGGAAGGAATTAAGAACAGGAGAAGCAGAAACTAAGAGCAGACAGGAAAAAAAATGGAAAAATATGGTAGAATCTCCATGCATATTGCTGGCTTATCAGCGTGTCCAGTCATGAATAGAGTACTCCTAGTCACTGAAGGGGAGAAATTGGATTTATGCATAAATCTAATGGTTACTGAAATCTGAATTAAGGCCCTTGCAAATATATTTGGCTGGTTAGTGATTATAAAAGCTCTGTCATAAGAACTTCCTCTATGGAGCTGGTTCCATGATTTTGTTAGCCATTATTAGCATTACATTCTTGCTTTTCTTAAGCTCTTCATGAGGGAGGGAAATTCCATGAGGTATTGCATTTCAAGTCCAGAAACCAATCATAAAATGCACCAACAGATTTTCTATCTTTACATATCCCACTGTGAACATTTAATTAAAGAATCAACTAGAGGATTTTTCCACTTCAATGAGTCCCTTAGTTTGTCTAGCTCTCTAAATCTTGCACCAGCTATGACTTGACTAAGCTAAAAAAACTCATCAGAGACCAGTCTGAATTCTGTTCCTTAGAGGAAAATAATTAGTGTGAATCTTGTGTTTCATTCTTCTTTGGAATGCTTATAATTAATGTTGCCTTGCTTTGCTTTCCTTGCATAGGAACTTATTTTCCCACTTTTCCAGCCACATGAATAAAGGGTGAACATAAAAGGCAAATATGGGAAAAGGGGGCATTGAGAAGAAGCTGCCACATCTGTTCTGTAAAAATATATGGATTCAATTATATAAATTCTGCAGCACCCATACGTGCACACATCCACACACGCCAACTCCCCCAAACAAACTTCGTGCTTTATAAAAATCATCTTTGAGCAAAGACAAGCTGTTACAATGTGGGCAAGGAGGTGGCAAGGTATGCCCAGAACCATGTATACTGCACTATGTGGGTCAATTAGAGGACTTTCTATTATATTTGTGACGATATCTGATTTTGATCATACGCATGAGTTGAACCTAAACTCTTAGAATCATGTGGCTCCACTGAATACGAAGGAAGCAGAACACTTTCCAGATTTCCCCAGGCTTTAAGAGCCACGGACAAAGTATATTCCCAAGATAACTTTGTATCTTACCATCAGTGCGCTGCACTAGTGGAGTGAGTGGTCCTCGAACACTTCTCTGGGCCTCCGTGTTTGTGATGAAGCAAGTGTAGTTGCCCACATCTGACGGTTCTACTTTGGCAATGTACAAGTTTCCAGTCTCTTGAGAGACAAACCTCCTCTTGTCCTCTTGGATATACAAAGGGTTATCATTGAAGATCCATGCATAAGATAAATCTGAAAAACGGGAAAAAACCCATATTGTTTTTACTGCCTTCATTCTTAGCTGAGAATTCTGCTTCCTACTTCTTCATAATTAGGATTAAAATTGTCCCCCTATTTGCCCAGTTTCTTGCTGATGTCCTTGTTATAATTGTAATATTCCTTTATATTTAAATATATCCCAGTTTGGAGGACAAATGGTATGGTCACTCTGCCCATCATTGACATTTTTGGATTGAGGATGTGATGATAGGATATGAAGGGGATAAGTGAATGGATTTGTTAAGAAAAGCGCTAAGATACATAAAATATCACAGGCTTAAAATGCACACTGAATTATTTCAGCAATGCTCATTTTGAAGCAGTGTTTCTCAATGTGTTGTCAGAAGGATTAAACATACTTAGGAGTGCTTGTTAAAAAATTCAACTTAAAAACTTTAAGTTCAAAGACTCTAACACATATTTTGGAGTTTACTTATTCCATCGTTACAGAAAGTTGTGAGCAGCTATTCTGTGGCAGTTTTAGGTCTTGGAATATAACTAAGCAAAACCTGCATCCCACATAAAAGTCACACAAGTTACTGCCAACTGCGCCCTACTGTGAATAATCTCAACACAGGATGACATATGCTTTGACAGAGGCATCATAGAGAGCCCAGAGGAGGATCCCAGCATGATTTGTGGTCAGAAAAGACTTCTCAGAAGAAATTCTTTTGTGTGGAAACCAACAGGATGGATGAGAACTATCCAAGCAATGGAAGAGTAGACAAACATAGCTCAGATAGTCAATAGCAAGAGCGTGAAGATGAAAGAGGGCCACCTCACTCTTACTGAACATCAGTCTGTCCATGGAAATTTTACAGGTAACTATTAATATATATATGATATAATGAGCATACTTAAAATCCACAGATGTTGCATTCAGTTTAATTAGTTGTAACAATTATATACCTCATGGAACCATCATCCCCAAGTAAAATATGGAACATTTCTATTTCTTCAGAACTTTTCTCATGTTTCTTTCTGGTCAGTTCTCTACTATCGCAATCACTCCTGGATTTCTATCATCATAGATTATTTTCTGTTACTATTTGGATCTCATAAAAATAGAATCAAAGAGAATGTATTATTTTATGTCTAATTGATTTTACATATTTTTAATGTTCACTTATGTTGCCATGACTATCAGTACTTCTTTCCATTATACTGCTGAATAGTATTGTATTTTATGAATATTCTGCAATTTCTTTAGCCACCTTACTATTGATGAGCATTTATTCGGATTGTTTCCAGATTGAAGCCATTATGTATTAGGCTGAAATAAACATTCTTGTATAAAAATGTGCACATTTTCATTTTTCTTGGATAAGTTCCTAAGAGTGAGCCATATGTAGATATAGGTTTAACTTTATAAGAAGCTACAAAATAAGTTTCCATTGTGGTTGTACCAGTTTATACCTCTACCAGGAATGTATGAGAATTCCAGTTGTTCCACATCCTCACAAAAAATGTGTGCTGTCAATTTTTTGTTTTAGCTAGAAATCTTTGAGCAAATGAAAATATTCTTATGCATTAAAGTTTGGTGAGTGTGGCTCTACCTGAAGGCTAAGAAATTAGGTGTATTGTGGAAATAAGGTAGAATAAAACTATGTCTAGAGACGTGGAAGAATATAGCTGGTTGAAAAGGGACCCCCAAAGTAAGTGAAATGTACAGGAGCTGGGGGTGAAGAGAGAAACATACTACTCTTAGGTCAAAAACATTGTCACCTGGATGGACACTCTTACACTTGGAAATCACGGCTCACACGATAGCACTTCATGCATTTAGGGGCTTCTTGTCCAGGGATAGACCTCAGATCCTGTCTGTCAACTGTGCTTACATTAAAAACTGAATGCAGAAGCAATCCATGGCAGAGACGAAAGATGCTAATCATTTCTGATATATTCTGGTAGGCTTCCTCCACTGGGAGCATACCAACTGAAATAATCTTCACTAATCCTACTGAATCAAAAGAATGACAAGACAACACAAATTGACAGCTATTCTGGACTTTTAAATATGAACTATATAGAAAACCTCTTGGAAAGTGGAAATGAGGGAATGTTGCCATTTTATCACTCCTTCCACTGGGAAAAAGATATATGAAGCATTAACAATAAACTTAGGGAAATAGATGGAAGGAAGGAAGGAAGGAAGGAAGGAAGGAAGGAAGGAAGGAAGGAAGGAAGGAAGGAAGGAAGGAAGGAAGGAAGGAAGGAAGGAAGGAGAAAGGCAAAAAGTAAAGGTGAGAAGGAAGGAAGGAGGAAGGAAAAAAGGAAAGAAGGAAAAAAGATTAAAGAAAGGAGAAAGAAGAAAAAAGTGAGTCTATCAAGAAAAAAGGCCATTAATAGTTGGGAGAAAGAAAATAATTTCTTAGAATTTGTAAACGATGTCAATAAAAAGAAATTCATCTATATAGATACAACTCTGATATTATTCCCAGGAATGAAGAGGATATGAGGTATGATATGACCAGGATAAATAGCAGCAAAATGCTACTTTTGCACAAAATGTAGAAATGCAAAAAGTGCCATTAAACCCATAAAAGTTGTGTCTGATAGAAAAAAAAAACCCTGTATTATTATGTGAAAAGCATGTTATAAATCAATATGTTTAAATTAACCCCTCAACAATTAGTGTGGACACTCGTGTGTGTGTGTGTGTGTGTGTGTGTGTGTGTGTCACACAAATTAATACATTTGAAAACCTCGAGATGTATGCAGTGATTTTTTTTTTTCAGGGTAAGTGGAGGGAAATATAAAAGGCTTTTACTGTCTACATAATGTGTTTCTGTCATATTAGAATTTTAAATTACTGTGTATTATTTGTGTAAATGGCGAAAAGAATCAACAGGATGAGAATAGTGCCAGAAAGGCTAAACACTAGAATGAGCTACAACTTGTAAAAATAAGACGGATAACGTTTTTTATTGTTCCTCTGAACTGTTCAGATGGGAGTATTATGTTTTATTCAGGCACTGATTCCCAAACCTGATGCACATTAGCATCACTAAGGAAGCTTGTTAAAATAGATAGCTAACTCTTCTCCTAGCAATTTGCTTTCATTATGTCTGAGCGATCTATCATGGAATCTATGTTTTCAGCACTTTCCAAATGACTCATGCAATTGAACTGGAATATTATGTTTAGAGCGCCCCTTATAGACAGGGGAATTAAAAATCTCAGGTGTATCCAGAGATAGATAACAAAATGTAGCAAAGGCTGGAAGCTTAAGTCACAAAAGAAAGTGATAAACACTTTGATTTTGACTCTGGGAAGAAGATTTTGGAAGGATATTAGTGCTGTCTTCACACATTGAAGGACTGCCATGTGCTCAAAGGGTTAAATACAATCCTTTCTATCAAGATCCAGGAGGCATGAGTAGGACTTGTGGCTGTTGGAAGTTACAGCATGCTATTGGACTCTCGATATAATGAAGAACAATCTAAACTTTAGAACTACAGCAGCAGATGATTTATGAGGCAGTGAGCTTTCTGTCATTAGAAATGATCAAGCAGAGTATGGATGAGCATTGCTTGGGATGTTGTGAAAACAAAGCAGAAAAAGATTTATTTTTTTTTGACAATGGATGGGAGATTAAACCTAAGCTATGAATGGTTTACTCTACTCTCAACATCCCTTTGATCTCCCTGAGTCTGTGCTTTTAGATCAAGTATGCATAAATGCAATTTGTTTTTTTTTTTATTTTTGAAAATATGCTTTGAGATTCTTGCCCTGTTCTCAGGTATTGAATCTTCATTTTCTTTCGCAAGTCCCTATTGGAGTCTTTCATCATTCCATGTGGTCCCTTGCTTCAAAGTTTCTTTACTGATGTCCTTTGCTGCCTCACTTCTAAGCTCTGTCTCCACCAAAGGGATGCACAAAGGGTTTTTGTTTGAAACCAGAGAGTTGTCTAGATAGTAAATTATTCTTCAGTATAAAGAGGAGGAAAAAATGTAGCTCAGATTCCCCCGTTGTCATTGACTCCTCATCTTTTGAACCTTTGTGAAATAAAGACAATCTTGAGCAAATTCCCAGGGCCGTGTCTCAGCTTATGGATCCTTATTCAATGTCTATTTGGGGAGAGAAATAAGCTTTAACGCTCTGAAATCCAATGTAACCCCTTTCACTTAGAAATTACAGGTTGCTGCCAGTGCCTAAGAAATCTTTGTATTCTTCAACCTATAATCTTGGGGCCTGAGACTGTAATTTTCTGCTCTCCTTAGGTGAATTCATTTTTACCTTAGCTGCTAAAACTTTCCAATCTATTACTAATGGGGTGCATCCTTCTTCAATAGTGGAATATTTTAGAAGCCACTGGAAGAATCTAGTCCAGAAATAAGGAGATTACATAAAGAATAATAATAAACTTTAAAAGTGCTTTCATTTCATCATCCCAGCATTTGAATTTTATGAGACTAAGTGAGTATTGCTAATGAAGGAGTTAGCAATATAGTTTCCCCAAATCATATTGCTAACATGTGGAGGGGGTAGGACTTGAACCTAGATCTCTTAGATGCCAAATCTTTGCTTTTTCCTCATAACCACCTAACACCACCTTTCTACTTTCCTATGTATCTACACTTGATCCTCTTTTTCTATTTCAGTTTCCTCTCTTTGGCTCTTCTTCCTCACCCCTCAGCACTCCTTCCAAACTCCCAACCTCTCTGCCTATTCAACCCTACTCACGTCCTAAGACAAACTCTTCTCACCACCCATTTCCTCCCCTATCAACATTGCCTGACCTGGGGGCGATTTCCTAAGAATCTCATAGGTTAATCTGTCATTTTAAATTACTCCATGTAATCCCCCAGTCCTGCTTTGGGAAGCTGAAGCAGGAGAATCGCTTGAGGATAGAGATTTGGGACTAGCCTGGGCAACATAGCAAGACCCTATCTCTGAAAATATAAATAAATAACAGTAAAAAAAAAATAAAATTAGCCAGGCATGGTAGTGTGTACCTGTAGTAGTCCCAG